CTGGGCTTTTCCAATTGTGGGATTTCTTGAGGGCTTCGGTTAAGTCATCTTTAATTATATTTACTGAAGTCATTTGTGGTATTTCTTTATTTTCATCTTCAATATCATTTATCCAATTAGATTCTTTATATTCCTTTGGGTTACTCCAGATTTCTTTCCAGTAGTTTTCTATTTCATCTATTTGTGGTGTATTGTTATTATTGCTTGAATTTATTTTATTTTGATTTCTATAGAACATTTTTTCGTTATTATAGTACATTGTATTTTGTTTTCGTCTTTCGCTTTGTATTTTATATCTTCTAATTCTTTGTGATAGTGCTTGAACTGTTTGTTTTAATGTGTCGTTGTAATTTCGGATTATGGATTCAAATTCAGGTTTTCCAGGTTTTGTCTGTAATGATCGGTATATATCTTTTAATGATTGGTTAAGTCTTTTTGATTTGTTTCCATTTAACACTTGCGTTATTCTTCCAATTATTTTTCTTTTCCCTTCTATCCGTGTCTCTATTCGCTTTTGCCATTTAGGTATTACATTTTCTTGATTTGGTTTTGTTGTATACATGTGTTCTATTTTGTAGCCTAAGAGTCTCGATACTGCTACTGCTGCACAATACGTTATTGTATTAATTGCGCTCAACGACATATTTTCTTCGATGTAATCTTTAAGTATATCATTTATCGTTATTATAGTAGATCTTGTTTTAATGCCACTTCTTATTTTTGGTAATTTAGGTCTGAATTCTATTTCAAAGTCTTTATATTGTTCTAAAGATGTTTTTAGTTCATTTTCTGCTGTTATTCTGTTTATTTCATCATTTTTATTGTTTATGTTATCTGTTGTTGTAGGTGTCTCTTCTATTTCTGGCACTACTTCTACTGTGGTATTTAATTCAGTTGTTTCATTTAATGATAGTTCATGTGCCACTTGTTGTTTGATTTCTTGTAATTCAATCGGAGATATTTTATTATTCTTTGCTAAGAATCGCCGTTGGTCTGCAATTCTTTGTTCCGTTACATTTAGTTCTGGATATTTTTGTTTGAATGCTAAGTATATTTGGTTTCTGTAATCAGTCATATTTGTTTCGAGTCGAGTTGATCTGTAGTATTCGCGCATTATCAAGGTATTCATCTCATGTGTCCATCTCATGCGCTTTTGCGATTTGTCAACCAAATTGGTCAGTTGTTGCTGAGAACCAGCTTGAACTGAAACATTTTGGAGGTTAGTCTGATTTTGTTGACTAGTCTGCGGTCGCATTACATCACAGCTTTGCCCGCATAGCACATCACTGCGTGGGATATGATGCATACTTAACGAACTGCAGTCAATGCCTACCTGCTGAACGCGGGATTTATTTGAGAGGGTACCTCCCGAACACCCCCCGTTATTCCTACGACTACGTGTAATCATATTTATATATTTTGTGGCCTTTTTACGGGGTCCCGGTCCCTAGAGAAAGCTCAACACTAACATGTGTCTATTGCCACCCATTTCTCACCACTAACATGTGTTTGTTGAAATAGGATTTTTATTTTTTGAAACAAAAGTGGCCATTGCGTGTGAGGACGAGTAACTACTCGAAGGGTGAAGGGACATCCTTGCGGACGTCCCTTCGGGGTGGGGGCACCTTTTTACAGGCACCCCCGGGTGGGAGCACCCTTGCGGGTACCCCCAGGTGGGCACCGATACCGAAGTACCGATACCCGGGTCGGGCAGAAACTCGTCCTCACTTAGCACCCCGCTTTCCCCATACTACTTAAGTTGGCCGTCCTAAACAGCGTTGGTTGGGCAGGGACGGGAAGCACAGTTAAAACAATTTTTTTTTCAGAAAAATTGCTTTACCACATCGGGGCTCGAACTATAGATCTTACTCTCCATTACACTACATAGCCCTACACACTAACCACTACACCACTGTGCCTCCTTTATTATTATTATTATTATTGTTATTATTATTATTATTATTATTTAGCACAACTTACGGTATATGGTTATCGATCAGTAAGTTAATGCATGTTTAAAATAATAAGTTTGTCAAAAGAAATAAATATTTAGTATAAAAATAAACGGTATTTATACAAATGTTAGTATAATATTTCGATTTACACACTATTAATGATAAAAAATAAATAGACAAATATTAAAAATCAATTTATATGATTAATTTTCTAACAATAGATTTTATTGATTATAAGATAAATATCATATATCAATAAAATTTGTTTGGTTAAAGATCTGAGTTGCTAAAGGTTTTCAATTTCAGGGGGTATAGGAAGTGTAAAATAGCAACAATCTTTTAAAAATCTTGGGGTGGGTATAGGGTGGGTATAGAGTGGGTATAGGGTGGGTATAGGGTGGGTATAGGGTGGGGTCAACAATTTTTATTGCTTCTTTAAACGAAAATTTTTACTTTTTAGTAAACTCTCTATAAATTCCCAATAAATTTCCTTTAAATTCCCTAAATAGAAAATATTCCCAAGTTAATTCCTTAATATTTTTTTCAAAAGTTTATAAAATAATAGGTTTGCATAAAAAGTATATATAAGCTAAAAACATATAAATTTACAATAATTATTTGTTTTTAACTTTTAAAAGTATAATAATTAATTAAATATATAATAAACATTTATTCTAGTAGTCAACAATTACAATCCTTGTAATCTAAAAATTAATTATATTGTATTAATTATTAAGTTAAAAAAATAATAGTAAAATATATAATAAACTGACAACAATTATCAAAAATAATTAGTAATACCCAAAAAATCATGATCAGGGGGTAAGATGACTTACCCCAACCTCCCTTTAGCAACCCTGTTAAAGATACTATTATATTAACAACTATTGCATCAAACAAATACTGTAAAAACTTATTATGCAATTAAATATATAACTGACAATAATTGTAAAATCAGTTATAACAGTGAATGGATTATAATATGATTTGCAGGAATTTGATTGAAATTATTGTCTAAAATAAACACTTTTATCACTTAATTGTCGGGTAAATGACCCTCAGATATACATCCTAAATGAGTCATCCCTTTCCTTGCCTTTAGTGTCACTAATTTTAGTTACTTTTTACAAACATTTATGTTATTATTAATAAATAAATAAAATGATTTTATAACTCCAAAATTTACATTTCATAATAACTTTTAATACATCAATGAATATATTTTATTTTTTAACTAAAGCTTATTGTAAAGATGTATTGTAATTGAAATAATGAAATATTTGTCCCCTTCGGGGGTCTCACACTTGATGGGTGTTATTATTATAGATAATAAATGTAATAAATGTTTGCAATTCTATGGATTTAAATATATTATAATATTTATGTAATAAATGTTATTAACATCAATATGACTGATCTGTTAAATATTTGGAAGTTTCTTATATCTAATATTCAATATATATTAAACATGTTTTCTTAACTTAAGATTCAATAACTTAAATAAAAATATTTATTTTATACAAAATTTCTAAAGTGTTAAATTATATTAAAAATAATAAATATTTTTTCTACTTTTTGTTATTACATATAAAAAATGTTGACTATTAGACTAAAAAATATATTAATGTTTTGTAAAGGGTTTGAATGATTTTACATTATTTCGTTTGACAACTCTCTAGCAATCGATATATTTAAACATAAGGTAATTGAAATTATTAATTAAATTATTAAGTTTTTTGTAATTATCGACTCATTTTAAATTAAATGTAAGTTTTGCTTATTGTTGAGCCGATCTCCTCGAAACAATTGTCCAGAAATTAACCGCTAGTTTGCGGATACAAAGTTGTGACCAACAAAGTAAGCAAAACTTACATTAATATTAATTTATATTTTTAGTAATGTTGTATCAGAACAAACACTAACCGGTAAGGCGTTAAAGTGTAGAAAACCCTCAAATTTCTATAGAAATAAATTTTCTTATCTCTCTATTTGTTATTTTATTATTTAATTTTTAAACAAATTGTATTTTTCGAAAAACAAAACTTTATTATAAAAAAACAAAATCTGTTATAACAATCAAATCATCAAAATTGTTAAATAATACATAATTATGAAAATAATATAAGAATTAAAAAATATTTATAAATAGTCAAAATGTTAGCTTAAAGTATTGATTAATAATTATTTAAATTAAATGAAATGAAATAGTTTTTATAATAGTTGCTAAAAACCCAAAAGTCAAATAGTTATCTATTTTTAAATATTTGCAAATAATATACGATTTATTTGTTTTCAGAATATTTATAAAAATCATTTAAACAAATATACTAATTATTTCTATTGTTAACAAAAAATGTGCATTAAAAACATTTAACAGTTTTTATAACTAATATTTTGTATTTTTACATATATTTGTGTAATATTTTACAGTTTAATGTTTATATATTTTCAAAATCATTAAAATAGTTATTTATAAGATATTATACTGTAGTTACTAAGCCATCAAATAATTATTTATTTATAATAAAATTTCGAGAATAGCGTCTACGGGTTATATTTGGTTGACATACTATACTATACTATACTAAGTCTCAATTATAAGTTTGAGAAAATAGATTTTTTAGTTGCAAATCAAGACACTAGTTATGCTTATAAAAATGAAAAAATTATCGATAATCTCAATATTTAGATAATAATAATTATACAATATTACCGATAATTACTGAAAAAACACTTTTAATTATTATGTTTGAAAACTTGTATCAGTAATTTTATTAAGTAAGTAAATTCAGTAATATTATAGAATAGTATCACTAAATTTATTCAATAAATTTTTTATGCATAGTATATGTATTTTGTTATTGTTATTGTAATAATAATATAAAATATTTTATTCCTAACATCTAAAGGGTTGTTAGGGAATGGAATGGAAATATAATTCATATTTTCCGAAAAAATTGATGGAAAGTTATTTAGGAACTTTACTAATTTGGAAAGTTACACATATCAGACATTAATACATGAATAATACAAATACTAATTATACTGTATATTACAGTAATTACAAATTATTGAGCAATAACTGATTGGGTGATAATCTTGAAGACAAGTGAGTCGTGTAATTGATTGTGTTTAAGACACTGACATTTGTATGACTTCCACTTAAAAGAGCCCAACAATGTGTCACATTTGGGACACAACAGTCTGCCCTTCTTATGGATACAAATCATTGGTTTCATCCATTCTTGCGGTTCTATGAATAGATTCGGACAATCATTGGTTTCCATTACATTGAAATCAAGTGTCGGCTTCAAGACATTCAGTTCATTGAACAATGATTGACAACAATTGACACAATTGTAGTGAATGTTAGTTAAACTAATTCTTGAGTTCTTGTCGTTTGATTTGAGTTTTGATTGATAATCGCTTAAAGGAATACAAAAATGTCTGTATTGTTCCCCGATTTCCGATTCTTCCCAATAATCTTGTGTCCAAATTTGCCTTCAAATACAATAAACCAAAAAACATAAAAAATATTTGATTAAAATCTAATATATATTATACTTCTTGAGACATATGAGTGCAAACACACGATATTCAGGATGTCTGACATCAAACTCATAATCCATATCTTCATAGAGAGCCAACTGACCAATAAATCCTGGATTTGGATTGATTTTTGGTCTAACAGTTCGGATCCGTTCAATGGCTTCATTGGCAGTAATTCTTAATTTCTTCATAAGATATGCGGCAACGACTGTCACCGATCGTGAGAAACCTGCGCTACAAAAGACAAATACATTTCCCTCTTTGTCCTCAATTTCTTCAATCATGTCCTCAATAATCGAATCAAATCTTGAGATCAAATCTTCGTGTGGAATGTCTTTGGCGTCAACCAAACGAAATCGAGTTTGTGATGGCATTAACTGTACGATCAGATCTATCTGTGATTTAGGATAGACTCCAATAACAAGAGTGATGTCCAACTTCTTCAGATGGTATGGATTGTGTGCCAACTCTTTGTTTCCTAAAAACAAATGCCTTTCAATGGCAGCGAAATCACTTTCATCGCAATCGATGGGCATTAGTAACAGTCTTTGTCTGATTTTGGACATTGTTTTGGATGTGAGTATCCGTTATCACCGATAAGTGGTCAACAAAGAAGTGGACAACAATTGATTGTATGATTGAGTTATCGTTTGAATACAAACACTGTTTATATTAATTGCATTAAAATTTGATGCAATAGTCGTGCAAATCATGTGATATTGTATTCACATAAATGATGTCAAATCTATACATCATATCTATTGAATAATAATTGTTTTATAAATTATAATATACTGTATTAATAGTATAACTTATATTTAACAGTATTACTAATAAAATATACTGTATATTGAAATAATAATTTCTAACAATTTTTGTTTTAATATATAAATTTAATTTTTGAATTAAATATCAATTTGAGTGACATATGATTTAACAAACAAAATTAAAATGATCTAATATATAAAAAAATGAATTTTATTTTCCATAAAAACAATCATTAAATTAAATTCAATCATCAATTTATTGAATAATGTATAAAAGTATTATATACTGTATTAATTAAACACAATAAAAATAATCCAATTAAATACTTTAATTTAAATGTATAGATTTTATTAAAATTTTGATTTAATGTTAAATTTATATTACAAACATAAAAAATTATTGTTTTATCAATGATGTGATTCCTAATTATATCAATGCTTATGATAACATAATTTAAAATCTAATAAAAATAATATAAATATTTTATAATTATTGATAAATTGAAAATCAAAATATTGCTTTAATAAATAGTTTAATACAAATGTAGTTAACTATTTTATTTTGTTGTCATTGTCGATATGAAACGTTTTTAAAGTTGATTTATCATTATCTTTATTATATTATATTTATATAATTTTATATAAATATAAATTTACTAGAATATAAATATCATATTTTCTATATTTAAATATTACCTTTAAATATTTTTATTTAAATAGTTTATAGTTTACTTTATTTTTACATTATTTTATTAAATGGTTAATTATTTATAATTTTATTTGATTTCAATATTATATGAGATATTTTAAAAACAAAATCGTGATTTTAATTTACAAAATAATAATCTTTATTATATTGAATATAAATTATTGGAAAAATTTTGTTTATAATTTGTAAAAATCTTTGAAAATATTTTCACACAAAAATTGTTTTTCATTTCAAAATATTTATAAATTACTATATAATTTGTGATTAATATGTTTGTTGTTTACTTCATTTGCTCGCTTAGAGCCAGAAAAACCATAAGAGAGATAAAGACTAAAAACAGGAACCAACAAAAAAAAACTAACAAACACTGAGAAATGTGAATCCAATAATTGAATTATTGAAAAATGCTTTTCAAAACTTATATTATATAGAAAATCCTTAGAGATAGTTCACCAATAATTTGATTTAAATAGCCTTCAATATTGATATAATAGCTAAAAGAAACATTTACTACAATCTCTGATCAGATATTAGTAATCATCAAACAGTCCAAGGCTTGAGTTTTCCAATAGATATCTAAAAAATAACAGTAATCTCTATGTGAATGAAATCGATCACAAAACAAGTGTCAAACACTAGACTGACTAAAAGTACAGTAATTTACTGGAAATGTTAACATTTGTTATATATTTCTCAGAATATAAATTATAAAAATGTAAATTAAGTCTATATTTATAATTTTTAATGTTATTTATTTTATAGTTGTAATTTTCAATCGTTTCATAATTCTATATAACAGTATATAAAATATTAATATAATTCACATATTTTATTGATATATAAGAATTCAAATAACTCATAATTTTATCAAAAATCATTAAAGAATAATATTATATATGTTTGTATAATAAAAAATTGTAGATTATTTTAGTTTTGATATTTTATTAGACATAATTGTACATGCTAATTTTGAAAAATTATTTGAAAGTACAGATAATTCTATAAAAACTCGGTTTATCTGTCACTACAAAAATCGTCTGATATTTGAAGATTTGTTATAACTTATAAGTATATTAATTAATAGAGATATTATGCCAATAATTTTGGTAACTGGTGTTGCACTGTATTATCACTTAATCAGACTTTACTAATTTTATTAAAACAATATTAAAAATAAGTTATGAAAACTTAATAACTATATTTAGTCTATTTTTATTGCCTCATACATAGTAACAGTTTGGTCTAACTTTTTAAGAAAACTTGTTTTTAATTTTAAAGTATTTTTTGATGTTTTTAACGATATTTTTTAATAAAATGGAAAATTTTTGATCTATTTTATTATTTAAAAATATATTATTATTAAATTTTTTATTTAACATTGATCTTAAAAGTATTGATATTATAACAGAAATATTGAAATAATAAACATTAAAAAATATCAATACTTTGACTATTATTGCTAAATTCAATAATATTTTATTTATGTTAACAAAATGTATCTAAATTTTATAAAAATTGGAAAATTATTGGAAAAGAGGAAACTATTTGATAATAAATATGTTTTACAATATTGTATTCGCCGAGAGTTGCAAACCCGGAACCAAACCATTGACATCAAGAGATCTCGTTCTTCATTTGGTGCGCAACCCATCTCTCACTCTCCTAATCATAAAGTTATAGGTATTGTTGTTATTGTTGTTGTTGTTGCTGTTGTTGTTGTTGTTGTTGTTGTTGTTGTTGTTGTTGTTGTTGTTGTGACAAAGTATAGTATAAATAAATTTATTTATTAAATACATGAAAAATATTTTTTGAGATTCAAAAAATTATTTGATAAATAAGAAATTATTTATAATTGTGTACTAATTAATGTCTATTGAATGGACATATTAATAATATTGAATATAAATTTCTAAATGTTAAATAAAATGCTTTTATAAGTTAAATATAATTATATATAATTTTTAAAAATATATTTGATTAAAAAATAATTATTTAATAATATATTTAATAATTTAAAAATTATAAAACAAAGCCATTCGACGTGAAGACGCCTCAGTTTGGGAAAGAAGAGCTCCTTTAGCACCACTTCACGTGAGACAACTGGTGAAGAAAGGTGTGAGAGTTATAGTACAACCGTCTAACCGAAGGGCTTATCCGTTGCAATCCTATGTTCAGGCGGGTGCTGTCATTCAAGAGGATATTAGTGAAGCACCGGTTGTTATCGGTGTAAAACAAGTGCCAATTGATTCATTACTTCCAAACAAAACCTATGCTTTCTTTTCTCATACAATCAAAGCTCAAGAGGCAAATATGTCACTTCTTGATGCTATTCTCGATAGAAATATCAGGTATTTAATAGTATTTTGCGTTAAACTTTAAAAAAGTAATTGACTTTTATTACAGATTAATAGATTACGAAAAAATGGTCGATAATAACCAACGTGTGGTAGCTTTTGGAAGATATGCCGGAATTGCCGGTATGATTGACATAATGCATGGTTTAGGACTTAGACTGTTAGCACTGGGCCATCACACACCGTTCATGCATATCGGTCCGGCACATAACTATCGCAATAGTGGTATGACTAAGCAGGCTGTCCGCGATGCTGGCTATGAAATTGCATTATCAATGATGCCTCGATCAATTGGTCCACTTACATTTGTCTTTACCGGCTCAGGTATGTAAATTAATAACACTATTGTTTTTATATCGTCTAAATGCCATTATATGGGTTATACAGGAAATGTATCTCAAGGGGCACAAGAAATATTTCAAGAGTTGCCTTATGAGTACGTAGATGTAAAAGATCTGTCAAAAGTGGCCCAATTGGGTCAACCAACCAAAGTTTATGGATCTATTGTCACTCGCGCTGATCATTGGGTACGCAAAGATGGCGGTGACTTTGATCCAGACGAGGCAAACACACATCCGGAAAGATATTATTCTAATTTTGCTACAGAGATAGCACCGCACGCTTCGGTCATTGTTAATGGCATTTATTGGGCACACGATTCACCCAAACTGTTGACAATACCAGACGCTAAACGATTACTTCAGCCTCAATATCAGCCATGGCTGCCAATATCGGTGGGATCACCAGCTCTACCACATCGGCTGATAGCTATTTGTGACATTAGCGCAGATCCGGGCGGTTCTATCGAGTTTATGACTGAATGTACAACAATTGATAACCCGTTTTGTTTATATGACGCCGATTACAACAAACACAGCACCGACTTTGCAGGTCTGTCCCATCTGTCTAATCAATCACTTTATTTCAGACTATCTTATCATAAAATATATCTTAAATTTTACTTTATATATATATTTTATATAAGATTTAATTATTTTTTATAAATTTTTTAATAGTTAATATCATATATAATTTTATTTATTTAAAGTCATATCTAAAAATATAAATTATCAAAAATAGTAATAATTGCAAAAATATTGATTAGGACCGGGGGTTCTGGTTTGCTCTATTGATAACATGCCGACACAGTTGCCTTTGGAGGCCACACAATCATTTGGTGATTTACTTAAGCCATATATTGATGACATAATTAATTCAGACGCCACCAAACCATTTGAGAGCTGCAACTTTGGATCGGTAGTCAAAAACGCTACCATTGCCAGCAACGGTCTACTGACACCTAATTTTGAATATATTATGGATTTAAGAAAAAAGAAAGACTCGAGTGGACCAACAAAAAAAAGTCAATCAAACCAAAAGAATGTATTGGTTTTGGGCGCCGGCTATGTGTCGGCACCATTGGTTGAACTCCTCACACGAGATGACAATATTTATGTGACCGTTGCTTCAGAACTTCAAGGTTTGTCACTCATTGACTATTATTATAGATTTTAAAATTAATTATAATCATAATCTATCATTTAAAAGGACCGGGAGATGAATTGGTTAAGAAAGCTCTTAAATCTAATGCTCACTCATTGGTTATCGATGTGTCTAAAAATAGCGAACAATTAGATAAATTAATTGAAGATTCAGATCTCGTGGTCAGTCTTTTGCCGTATGCGTTGCACCCGAAGATAGCAGAGAAATGTATCCGATTGAAGACAAATATGGTTACCGCTAGTTATGCCACTCCACAGATGAAAGAGTTGAACGATGCAGCCATTGAAGCGGGAATTACTGTTGTCAATGAAGTTGGTTTAGATCCAGGTGTTGACCATCTATTGGCAATGGAGTGTTTCGATCACGTCCACTCAAATGGTGGCAAAATTACATCATTTGTTTCATATTGCGGTGGTATACCAGTGCCTGAAAATGCTGACAATCCGTTGAGATATAAATTTAGTTGGAATCCAAAGGGTGTACTATTGAACAGTGTTGCCGGTGCCAAATGGATTGAAAACAATGAGATCCGGGAAATACCAGCTGGAGGTGCACTCATGGATATTGCCAATGATATTGATTTCTTGCACGGCTATAATCTCGAAGGTTATCCTAATAGAGATTCAACAATTTATAAAGATATTTATGGTATTTCATCTGCAAAGATGGTACTTCGAGGAACTCTCCGGTAAGAATTGCTAAGAAATACAAAAAAATGTCATTAATATTGTATTTCTCCCAAAAGATATAAAGGATTTTGTGATATTATGAAAGGTCTGCATCTCATGAAATTACTGGACTCAACACCTCATCCATCATTACATCCAAAGGGACCAGAGATCACATGGAAACAGTTTATGACTCTTCAATTGGGACATCAAGACGACATTTTACTTTCTAATCTTAAGAATCTAATCTATGAAAGGGTTGGTAATGAGACCAGAGTTAATGCCATTGAAAAGTTAGGTCTTTTAGAAGAAGAACCAATTTTTAAATTAGACACTCCTATTGATACAATCACCCATTTCTTGGCTAATAAGTTATCTTATGGACCAAATGAAAGAGATATCATAATTATGAGACACAATATTGGTATCGAATGGCCGGACGGTTCTAAAGAGCAAAAGAATATTAATTTTGTTGTCTATGGAGATCCTAATGGATATTCAGCGATGGCTAAGACTGTGGGATATCCGGCAGGAATTGCGGCTAAAATGGTATTAAATGGCGAAATACAAACCAGAGGTGTGATCGCACCGATGACTTCAGAGATTTATCACCCAATGATTAAGAGATTGCATGACGAGGGCATCACATATACTGAGACGTCCAACAAATTATAAACCAAATCATCAAAATTATTGCAACTTTACATTTTAAGATTGAATTTTATTTATTCATTTTACAATAAAAAAAATATTTGTTAATCATTTAATAAACTACAAACAATTTCTTATATAATATAAAAATTTCTACATTAATATTTTTATTGGCAATTTAAATAACTAACCTTATTTTCTGTAAAACATTTATCATACGAGTACTTACCGTTTTACAGTTACAGTTTTATCATTAATAACTTACAAAATTGCAATTTTACTAATTTAATGTTTTGTAGATTCATATGATATCTAATTATTTACATTGTGGGTAAGTGATAAAAATATAATGCAAAATAAAATCTAATTCAATAATTTTTATGACATATGTCATACTATTATTGAATGAATAATCATTTATTTAACTTTTATATACATTTTGACATATTTTTGGTTTATTTTAAGCAAACTTTATAATATATTGTATATTTTGGTTAAGCCTTTAAAAATTAAGTCTTATTACAATCATTACATTCAACCCAAATGTATGAATTCAAATACAAAGCAAAAGGTAAGAACAAGGGTTAGTATTGTATTACATGAAAAGCTTTAAACAGATCCATCATTTGTCTTATCATTAGATCAGACAAGACTGTGATTGAGATGAGATAACATATTAGTCAAAATGTTTTAGTTATTTAAAATGAAACCAAACATTCATCTCAAATGATCGCACAAATGGTTTAGACATTCAATGAGTCAATGCATTGGAGTCCGGAGTGTCGTTTCGGGTCATTACTCATACAATTTAGTGGTAATCCCTACCGTTATCCTCTACGTTGACCACCAGTAAAGACAGCATCTGTTAAACATTTATAGATTTTACTGTCAATACAATGGTCTCTATAATATGAAAAAGCAGATCATTTTGTGCATCATTTCAGTGACGGAACCGACACATTAAATGCCATTTATTTTAATAATAAAAGTCATAAAGACTATTGACTTTTGATTTGTTTAATGTTTATTAATATTGATTTTTATTGTGAATTTTGTTTCATTATTTTAATAGAATATCTAATGTTTTAAATAAATATAAATAATTTCATAACATTTACGCCACTATTGTTATAAAGTCAGAGATGAGTAGATAAGAGAAAAAGTCATACAAGTCTTGAGAGTCAACACTTTTGAGTGCAAACATACGACACATACTTTTATGACAAAGTGTGGCAAACCTTTTATAAAGTCCTACTTAAAGGTGTGTTTTATACTCTCCCTCTCAATATCTCTCAAAATACATTCTTTGGGAGACAAGTAATGGACTCAATCACACAATTAGGTGCTTCTCCTCCCAGACTATTGATGGCAAACAATAGCCAATAGATAACACCAACTATAGTATTGCCACATAAGAGACACATTGAGAGACACTTTTCTGTTTATTCAAATCTATACTATTATAACAATAGACTCATCTTTTGATTGCAAAACTAGTGCTCAATAAAAGTAGAGTTGCCAAATGTTTTTCAAACAAAATCTTAGTTTTTATAAACTTTAAATAAAATATTATAATTACTTATATATTGCAACAATTTTATTTAACAACACTTACATAAAATGCAATTAAAAAAATTTAACTATAAACTTGTTAACATTAATGACACAATTATATTCACATTTCAATGTTTGCACCAATTGGTTAAATAAATAAATAAATAAATAACTTTAAATGTATATTTGTGTATGGTTATTTTAATCATTACAAACTTTAGCTAAATAATTAAAATATAAATAAAATTTATATTATATGATTCACATTACGGTTCAAAAAAGGACATTTGGTAGGAATAGTAAGTAATAGGCGGTCGCACTCATAAGATCTAAACTCATTTGACCCAAACTTATTTGACCCAAATCATTTGACCCAAACTTACTTGACCCAACTCATTTGACCCAAACTCATATGACCCAAATCACTTGACCCAAACTTATTTAACCCAAATCACTTGACCCAAATCACTTGACCCAAATCATTTGATCTAAATCATTTGACCCAAATTACTTGACCCAAATCATTTGACCCAAACTTATTTGACCCAAATATTATTTTATTTTTTTCAAACTATATAATATATATAAATGATACAAAACTTAATAGTTAGAAAATTTAGAACTTATTAATATTTATTCCATATTCATTTTTTAACCAATTGGTAATATCTCTGGCTTTTTATATAATATTTTTAAAAATTAATATGTAATACTATTTACAGTAAATAAATATTAATAAGTTCTAAATTTTATAACTATTTAGATTATTATTTTATTAATTTTTGTATCATTTATATATATTATATAGTTTGAAAAAATAAAATAATATTTGGGTCAAATAAGTTTGGGTCAAATGATTTGGGTCAAGTAATTTGGGTCAAATGATTTAGATCAAATGATTTGGGTCAAGTGATTTGGGTCAAGTGATTTGGGTCAAATAAGTTTGGGTCAAGTGATTTGGGTCATATGAGTTTGGGTCAAATGAGTTGGGTCAAGTAAGTTTGGGTCAAATGATTTGGGTCAAATAAGTTTGGGTTAAATGAGTTTAGATCTTATGAACTAGACCCAGTAATAGGAATAGATTACTGTATGTACTGTGCATTGCATTTGTATTGACTTATAGTCGATGAATATCCTGCTGACTGTCCCCTATAAGCCAGACGTTTTGTCCCACGACTTTCAAAACCTCAGATTTTATTGGTTTTTATTCAATAAGACTGCAAATCATATGCAAAAACGTTTGGTTTGTGTCTCGTAAATGATATCATCTCTGGTGGTAATGTTGTTAGTGTTGTCTGTGTTAATGTTGAAGAGTGTCTCCAATCTGATGACACCTTTCAGACATATTGTGGCACTTTTACATACAAATTGTAATAAATGACAATAGATATGCTCTCAAAAGTTGTACTCATCCTATTGTAAGCAAATAATTTGTTATCCAAACACACAATTCACACAAACTAACAAATGGTTATAAATAATTGGTATTCATATATATATTGAAAGTAAGGTATATTTATTCAACAATTGAAAAGAAATAAATATTTTATACTAATAAATATTATTTTAATGTTTTTTGACATTTATTATGTTATTTTTATTGGAATTTTCTACAAATAAGTAAATATATTTATATATCATATCCAGTGTGTATAATATTCAATATGTTTATAAGAATAATGAATACAAAACTCTCCAAAAAAATGTTTAGTATCTCAAATGACTTTATGATTGAATACCACTTTAAACAGTCAATATGTATAACACGCAAAACTCTTGACTACTTATATATATATATATACAGTATATATATCTGGTATACCTTTGAATAACAAAAAGAGTTTTTCGTATTTCAGTATAAATATCAAGAATTTGCAACTTTTAAAAGTTAAGGTATATATTCACTACAAAAACTATTGTAAAGAATAAAAGCGACTAAACATTGATTGAAATGCTTGTGAGGGTTATGAAGGTTAACGAGGACTCAACACTTGGATTGACCCCTATTGACAACATTTAGTTTTCGGTTAATTTATATATAATAATATTTGTAAAATTTTAACTATTTTATTATAAATTATAAATAAATATATAATATAATTTATTCTTTATAATGCAATAAGTATTTTTATAGTATGTTTAATTTCTATATAAATATATAATTATGTTTATAATATATATTTAAAATAAAATTCTATAAATAAAAATAAAATGACCGAAAACTAAACATTTGTTACTTTATGGTTAGTGTGATAGCAAACATGTTGGGCATCAGCGGTACCTAACTTAAGGCCAGTGCTCTCCCGCCCCTTCGTTATGTCGGTGCAGTCAAAGTGTTAAAAAGTGACACATTTTCACACTTATAAAGTGCTTTGAAAAGTAAATCACAAACAATTGAGAGATTTTTAGCAAATGTTTTGTATTGAAACACATAAATCACTTAATTGTCGGATCAGTCCTACATCTCATTAGTTTAGCCATTCATCGGTTATTTAAGATCGTTAAGAAACCCATCACAAGTAAAGGGATTATATTAGCAAACAATAGGTGAAAAATTTTCTAACAAATTGGATGTCTATGTAGTTAGCGATAACTATATACTCTACGGTATGTATATATAAGTATCTGCCATAATATGTGGACAGCCCTCTCAATCACCTCTAGTTTGATGTCAACTACAATTACAAGCCATGAAAATTGAATTTATTTAATACAGTTGTGCTCTTTGAAGTCATAAATTCTTGAGGCACACCAAACCAAACCAAATGTTTCAATAAAATTTCATTAGATTTCATTCAATAGCAAACCTATGATCATAGATCTCTCGGCTAATAATAAAAAGTGAGTCCAACAGAGAGAGAGATAGAAAGAGAGAAAGAAAGAGAGAGAGAGAGAGAGAGAGAGAGAGAGAGAGAGAGAGAGAGAGAGAGAGAGAGAGAGTGGACAACAAATAATAATATAATGGCAAAGATTTTCTATTGGGATAGCATTTTGAAGAGAGCTTTCGTACTATTGACACCTTATGCTTGATATACAACTAATAGAGGCCTAACATTACATTTTTAAGGCTTTAACTCAATGCTAGAAAAAAGTAACACATTTTTAAAGAGAGAAACCTTTTGTGTTATAAAATACTTTTGAGTTAACACTTAAATATATATATATTTGAAAAACCAGTACTGAGTGAGATCAGGGATGCATAGGTTTTCCACTTCACTTCTGCACATCAGTTGTTACCATTTAATGGCCTTTAATATGATTAAGGGCTCAAAATCTGTTTACTAAACTATGCCATTGTATACACAAAAAAAATTGTAACAGCATATTGTCATCTAATACAGTATTTGTAGTGCTGTTTAAAAATTGTATTAAAATCTGCTTAAAGTACTTAACTTTAATAAATATGGTTAATATACAGTATTGTATTTTTAAAATTATTATAACAGTTTTATTGATTTTTATTTATTAATACCTAAATAAAATAAATTTTATTTT